TTGCTCAAATTTAAACGTATTTTTTTACATGAAATTTTTTAATTAATTTAAAAATGGGGTTAAAATTTTTATTTGTACGCCGTGCGCCATATCATACCTATTTGCATAGACATTTTTTTCCACTCTCGCCTCTCCGAACACAGGTACATATGATTTCTTTGATAAAATTAAAATTAAATTTAACAAAAATTATCATTATCATCATCATCATCATTACTGATATGTAATCGTAGCGTTCGGTTGTCGTTTTCGGCACCTTTTGTCATCGATCATTTTGGAATTGCCATTTCGTATTCAACAAAATGCCATCATTCCTCATACCTTTTATCATTCATTCATCTATCCGTAACCCTTTCCTTTCTTCCTTCCTACTTTTCATCTCCTTCCCTTTCCTTTCTCTTTTCCATCTAATATTTCCCGCTGGTTATTATCATCATTATCATCGTCACTCGCTATCATCATCATCATTTCACTGTCATGTATGTGACCTGTGTCAACGACAGCATCTAACATTATTTAATCAAATAATTTTACCAGTAATTTATTTCTAAGCTATTATTACTGTTCGTTCAATTGTGATAGTGTTGTTGTTGGTGGTGGTGGTGGTGGTGAGGTGGTGGGAGGCGGTGATTGTGATAATAATTAGCTAAAGAGGCGGTATTGGCACGAATGCAGATCAACTTCTACTACAATATTTATGGAGCAACAGCACAAGCGACGACAGCAACATCAACAACAAATACGACAGTCGATTATTATAATCTGCATATCACTGATAAATTTAAATCAAATAACAATTACTATAGCTGATAACAATACATCAGATAATCACAATTACAATGATATTATCTATGCTAACAATAGCAGCTATGATAACACCACTATCAATAATTATCGTGTGTCTGATGAGCGTTATTCGGTTCTACGATTACGTACCAATGATCTCAACCAATTCTTGTCTGTAAAAAAATTGATCGAATCATCCGTTGATCTCAATGTAAGTTGCTTTTTCACTAATTATATTTAACTAAAATTTCACTATTTTTTTTTAGCCTTATTTGTTCTCACAAAATAATAATTAAAAAATTTTATAAAGTTTGAAATGCAATGAAAACAAACGAGAATGGAGACAATATTTTATTTAGCACAAAAAATTTTAATTTTGACTGTTAGCTAAGTTTAATTTCACTTATAGACTAGAATGAAGAGAAAATTTTTTTTCTGTTTTCATAACAGTCAACGAAGTGATGATAATTCAAAATATATTCATAAAATACAATACTGTATAAATGTATATTGGACAAATTTAATATATACATGAAATCAAAAACGAAATTTAGCACACATTAATGTATAATTAAAATTTATTCCGAAAATTATTTATCAATTAAAATTCGATCTTATAACTGAAATTATTATCATTTTCGTGCCATAAATTTGTCTCATATTGAAATACTAATGAAATTGATGAATTAATTCAATAAATAAAAATAGGTAAACTGACCAATCACACTAATAAGACTGATTATGCTAATGGAATATTTGAAGTTTTAGATTTTCCTTCATGCTATTGTGATTCAACGTTTAATAACCTTTGACCTGAATTCAATGCAATTTTGTTTTTGGCCAAATCTATCGTACTTCAATTATTTTTATCACTTTATATCGACTGTTACCGTCTTTTAAAGCATGAAAAATTTTAAATCGCTAAAAGACTTTTCATCAAACTATCGAAGTGTTTGAGGCTAATTTCTAAGCGCTTTTGTTGACGTTAATCTTTTACCAAGAAATAGTGCCAAATTTGAAATAATTTAAAAAAATATTTCGAAACTTTATGTGTCAGGAAAATTGAATAGCAAGTGCAAGAATTTCATTGCAAAAAAACAATTCTGTTTCGAAATTTATTTTCCCACATGATGTGAAAAAATTTCACCGTTTCAAACATTCTTCTCTTTCCTCTTTCTTTTCTTCCCCCTTAAAAGCAAAAAAAACGAAAAAAAAAAACTTTTATGAATTTTTAAAATTGCTCATGTCCCTACAACTGAAAATTTGATGCGAAATTTTAATCTTCATTTGAAATCAAGGAAATTATGATTGTTTGATGTTCCGTTTCTTTTTTTTTTTGCCTTCTTAAAAATGATTTCTTTTTTCCAATCCTAATTTGCTGATATGTTTTAATTGGTTTTTTAATCTCATTTAACGAGTTCAATTTTATTTTGAAATATTTTCATTTTACAGCTTTCATATGCAATTTAAAATTGAGTTGAAATATCAATTTAAACTGAAAGAAAGGAAAAAAATTGCGAATGAAAAGAAAAATAGATATGCAAAGCAGACATGAAAAACTAATGAAACACTAAATTATCCTTCGAAAAAATTTTCAAATGTTTCAAAACCGTAAAATTATTGTTAAAAAAAAAGGAAGTGTAATGTAAAGAAAATGAAAATTAAAATTGAATTTCAGGTGAATTTCTGGAAAATAGCACGCGATATAAACGATGTAAGTGATGTAATGGTTCCGGCAAGTACTTTGAAGACTGTTTTGCATTTATTACATATGGGAAATATTAATGTTACTGTTACAATTCCTGATGTTGAGGGGTAAATTTTATTTTTGAACATTTCTAACATATACCAAAAAAAGAAAAAAAATATGAGCAATTTAATAAATCACAAAAAATTATCAGATTGTATTCCTTTAAAAGTATCAAAACTTATTGAATGATTATTGAGAATTATTAAAATCGGTGGAGAAAAAAAAAGTAAATTTGCTCAAATTATTCCACTGAAAAGAGGAAATTTTTAAAATTTGACATTTCGTTATTGTTTTTAATTGAAATTTGTTTGCATTTTTTTAAATGCTTGAAATATTTTTTTGTTGTTTTCCATTTTTCCTTCCTTTTTTAAGTATATTTGATTTCTCATTAAGTATATTTGATTTTTGATATTTGATTTCTGTTATTTGCAATTTGATCAAATATTTTAAAATGAAATTTCGGCAAGTTTTTTTTCTAAATTTAAATTATATTTGAAATTTCTGAAATTTAAATGATGATTCATACGCAACATTTACTGTAAACTGAAAATTTTTAACTTTTAGCTCCAAGTAATTCATTTGTGTGTTTTTCTTTGTTTTTGAATTTTTTTTCGATGTACTTTTTTTGCTTTCTTAAGCAATTCATTCAATCGTTTTTCTCTTTTTGTTCAAATTTTCTTTTGTCCACAACAATTGACAAATTAAATAGTTTGAAATTTGAAAGGAAAAAAAACAGATAAATGGTGTAACAGGAATTCGAATATCTAAACTTATCGGAGGTATTTATTTTTTAAGTACTCGAAAGCTTTACAATTAACAAAAATTAACAAAATAATATATTTACATTTAACATAAGAGAAAAAAAAAACTACCAAAGTTGTTACCAATGGATGATGAATTGGAATAATTTTGAAAATTTCAATTAATTAAAAATTATTTGTTCATCGAATATTCGAAATTCTCACAATTAACAGAAACTAAAAGAAATATGTACACTTAATGCAAGAGAAAAAAAATCACGAAATTATGAACAGATTAGAAAAATTCTGAAAATTTTAATTAATTAAAAAGTATCTGTTCGTTTAATTTAACATGGAAAACTACGAATTGTCGTATCGAATAGAATGAAATAGAATTAATTAATTGTTTCACTCATATCTATTTTCCTCTCTTTTCCAATGACCATTCTTGCGCTATTTTTTCACGAGAAAAGTTAATTTATCTGTCGACCTTTCCCTTGCATTTATCTGTTCAAAAATTTTTTATCAAATTATCGTTTATTCACTTACCTGTTCAGAGTTTATCCTCAACATCAATCTTTAAAATTCTATTTCAGCTAGTTAGCAAATGTTTCTCATTTGCTTTATTTTGATAGAGATAGCAAAAGAAAAGGACAAAGTGCAAAATTTTTAAAAAACAAATGATAATAATCAAAAAGATGGATAATGATAATTGGAAAAAAAAAAGTAGGAGATAAAAATAAATGTAATTTTAACAAATCTTTTCTTTGTTTCCTTCGTAAAAAAACAGAAAACCGGTTTTTTTTCTTCTCATGTAATAATGATAATTAAACGTTAAGATCATTGTCGTAAGAGGAATAACATTGATAAGATAAGCGATAAACGATAAAGAACTGGTATTAAATAAGAGATAAGTAAGGGTGAAAAAAGTCGAGAATTTACGTAACTGAGTGAAATGTTGGATGAAATACTGTTATCAAAAAAAAAAAGAAAAGAAAAAAATGGTTTCTGAGTTTGGTTCAATTAGTTTCAAAAGTCGAGCAAATTAACTACAGTATATTATTTTGTTTCGCTTTTTGCAATAATTAAATCATTGAAGCTACGCATTTTTATCAGTTTAAAATTGCCGAAAATTTTTAAGATTGATATGAAATTAGCCATTTTCAATTTTTGTTAAATGAAATTAATTGTTTTTATCCCCATTTGCTATATATTTGAATTACGGATCCGAAATTAAACTATTTTATTACCATTCCAAAATTAATTGCTATTTACAGCTTAACAAATTGTATGATGATAACCGTATTCTTTTAAAGTATTTTTATACATTCAAATAATACATTTATAATCGCTGTATTATCATTTTTTTAAATCATCCATCTATCAGAGCGTGTTTTAATTTTAAAGTAAATTATTATTTACAACTAAAGTAATTTATCTAAAATTTACAATGATCAAATTATAACGGAATCTAATAATTTAATGGGAAATTCTTTGTGAATAATTAATCAAATGATCGATAAAAAAGTTAAAATTTCCAAAACATAAATTTGGTTAACGTATAAATCCGAATTTAATTTTGCCTATTTAATTTCTTCAAATTTAATTTTTTTTTTCTAATACACAACAACAAATGAATATATCATTTAGCAGATAGCCGATAACAGCTTACAGCAATTTCAGATTGATCATAAAACGGCAGAAAAAGAAAAGCGCATTCGAGCAGCAACGTTATCGGGATGATTCGAGATCATCTTCGAGGTCAACCGTGGAATTCGCCAAATACAATTTCTATTCATACGGTTCATATAAGGATATGATGGAATGGTTACGATCATTAGCTGTCCAATACCCGAATTTTGTACGGTACATATCGATTGGAAAATCTCACGAAAGACGTAGCATAGATGGCTTAGAGGTTTGTGATAACTGCAAACTTTCTCATTGTTTGCAAAAAAAAAAAGATTTTTTGCTAATCAAAAATTATACTAATTAATGAACAAAAGTGAAATCTTGATATTATAATCGTATTAGCTTAGCAACATAGAGATCATCCTTTATTATTCCCAGGCATCTAAGAATGAGAACAATTTTGAAATTCAAATTAATATATCTTTTTTTACGGTAACCTTTTCTAATTAAGAGGAAATGAATTAGGGAATGAAATTAGAAGAATATACAATGTTTTTGCGTTTCATTACAAACAATTACATAAACGGTTAAATGTGTTACGAATTAATATTTTTGAATGTTAGCAAACAACAAAATAATAATAATTTATTTTACACTGACATTATAATTTAATTTAATGAAAAGGTGTTCAATAGTTTGAGAGGGGAAAAAAAATTGAATATTTCGAATTTTTTTCTTTTTCGTATAGCAACAAAATACATTTTGTTTCTTCAGTCCTTACATTGTTCGTTGAAAATTTGTTTAAAAATGTAAATAATTTACGAAATTAATTAGCAATAAATTTACCGAGCTAAATTCGATTAAGTTATTTTTAATAAATGGATAAAATAAAGGATTTTTTCAAAAAAAAAAAATGTCATAAAATTGATTTTTTTGTCAAAATTCATCTTTTTTTCTAAAAACTACTTTTGTAATTACATTGATATGTTCCTTTTTTCCGCCTATCGTTATTCATCTTTTCGCTTTTCGAAATGGCCGGCAATGATCGGTTGATTTTTCTATCGTTTTCACCAAAATTCATTCATCCATCCATCCAACCAACCACTCATTTTTCCATTTTCTCAGTTCAAATTTGGCAACCATTTAAATTTTAATTGTCAGATGAAATAAAAATTTTGAAGTAAGAAAAGAAAAAAATGTTCAGGTCTTAGAAAAAAAAAATATCCATTAAATGATTTCTTGATTTATGTGTGGAAGATCGAAAATGAGATATGAGTGAGATAAAATAATTTCATCAGATTTTTTTTTTCATTTTTCAAAATATCAATTGTGCATAATGGATAACAAAAAGTTTTTTGTACAATTATAGAAAAAAAAAGAAAAAAATAAATAATTTATGACTTTTAATAAGTTGAAAATGATAACAAGAAAACGGAAAATTTTGAAAAAAAAATACATCAGAAAAAAATCATTCTAAAATGTATGAATGATAACAAGGTATAACTTTAACAGAGAAATAACTCAATATTTGAATATAAATGAGTAATTATATTTCAATCGATGGATTAGCAAAGAAAAATTTTTTTATTGTTTATCGCGGAGATTTTGCTTTTCTCTTTCTTTTTTTCACAAAATTCCTGGATGCGTTTTTTTCAAATTCAGTAAGTTTCTTTCAGTATTTGGAAATTTTTTGGATTTGCAATTTTATAAGCGAAAGATGAATAAAAGAATCGATCAAATGATTTAAATTTGTTGGCAGTTTTTGATAA